TAACTGTTTTTAGTTTTAGAAACTATGAGCCATTATGTAGACATAGAATGCTTAGTGTGTTGAAAAATTTCTTTGTCATTTCACTCTCTACAAAAAATGAAATTATCATCTACCGTATAGCGCTTTAATTTGGTGGCTTTTTATTATGGCAATTGGCGGTTTGCAAACAGAATCGCTAATTTTAAAACCGCCAATCATTAATTAATTAATTAATTAATTGATTAGTTAATTAATTAATCATTAATTTTACTCTACATTGCATGGTGATCCGTAATTTCTTGTATAATAACATTGAAAGTACAATGTAGAGTAGAATTTGCGCCACGAGAGTAGGATTTTATTATTTAAGTCTATGGAGTAAGGCCCTGTTTACACTATAACCCACTTCACTGTATCAGGATTGTTTTTGCTATTATTCATTTCAGGTGTTTATACTAATCCAGCAGCTGGATTTTCGTACAATTTATCATTTGTTTATAGGAAGTATCCACTTTGGTATCCGTTTTCATTTTACTTAAGATAAGTGATGTGCATTCATTTATTAGTATAAACACAAGCTGTATCAGAATCAAAAAGTCTCTGTTTACATGTGAAAATGGATCAGTGCCTAACAGTTGAGCCTTCAACTTATCATGAACAAAAAGAAGTAGCTCTAACTAATAGTGTATAGTATAATTAAGCATTTTATGTCAATGAATGTCTAGAATTCCATTTTGTACAAGTACAAATTAGACAAGTTGTAGAGCACTCCCACCTGTCAAAGTAAAACTACTGTATAGCTCCAAATTTTCGTCGATCAAAATTTTCGTCAAATTTGTCAGGTACTTTTGCTTGATGAAATTTTTAACCGACAAATTTTTTGTTCCATGTGGGTAGTATGCAGATTAATAACAAAGTGATAAAAATTTTAAGACAGGAGCATTCTATAGTATTTCTAATAGTACGTACTAAAAATTATTCAATATGACAGCTATATTGCAAGTTAACTGATTTGAAAGGAGTTAGTGACATTAGAATCCATCTACA